AATTTCTCACGATTCCCAACCCTAAACGGCACACACGCTGACATCGAACACAGCGGATAACGGCGCACACCCTGACGTCAAACACAGCGGATAACGGCGCACACTCTGACGTCAAACACAGCGGATAACGGCGCACACTCTGACGTCAAACACAGCGGATAACGGCGCACACTCTGACGTCAAACACAGCGGATAACGGCGCACACTCTGACGTCAAACACAGCGGATAACGGCGCACACTCTGACGTCAAACACAGCGGATAACGGCGCACACTCTGACGTCAAACACAGCGGATAACGGCGCACACTCTGACGTCAAACACAGCGCATAAAGGCGCACACTCTGACGTCAAACACAGCGGATAACGGCACACACTCTGACGTCGAACACAGCGGATAACACCGCACAATCTGACGTCAAACACAGCGGATAACGGCGCACACTCTGACGTCAAACACAGCGGATAACGGCACACACTCTGAAGTCAAACACAGTGGATAACGGCTCACAATCTGAAGTCAAACACAGCGGATAACGGCACACACTCTGACGTCAAACACAGCGGATAACGGCACACACTCTGAAGTCAAACACAGCGGATAACGGCTCACACTCTGACGTCAAACACAGCGGATAACGGCGCACACTCTGACGTCAAACACAGCGGATAACGGCACACACTCTGAAGTCAAACACAGCGGATAACGGCACACACTCTGACGTCGAACACAGCGGATAATGGTGCACATTCTGACGTGAAACACAGCAGATAAAAAATTAAGAAATTAAGAAGACTTTTACAATAATAATATCATATTATATAATATATCCTTAACCCTTTCTAATAATTTATAGTCATAGGCTGCCTGCAGTTATAAGTTCTGTAAAATATAAATATTATTATTTTCTTATTATAATATTGTTATATTTATTTTTAATTACTGTATTTTTTTCTTTATTTTTAATAATAATAATGTTATTGCAATAGTAATGTTTTTTTTTAATCCCAATTACGTAGATTTGTCCCTAAACCATGCAACCCTAATTTAGGCTATTCTATTCATCACGTCAGTGCTTAGGAAACACCCACCATTGCACATTTTGTATCTCTCCCACATCAGCCAATCCCAATTCAAGGCTGTGTTTGAAATCACTCCCTATTCCCTCATTCACTATTCCCTACATCACTCCACTAATATAGTCCACTTGATAGAGAGAATGAAAACGAGTGAGTGAATTCAGACACTGAGTGTGTCGGAAAGGCTGCTGCTCTAACATAGTTTGTGCTTGCTGTTTAATAATCATTTGAAACTTAGCAAACTGGCAGCTCCAGCAGTAAGATGAAAAGATTCTCAGTCAGAAAAGATTCTGAGACATCTTCTCAGTTCTCACGCATGCATCGTGTCTCTCGTGAACTCACGTCAGAGGCCCACATGGAAGAAAATGAATAGCCTAGCCCTAGATGAATAAAGTAGTAATTTTTTTTTTTTTTCAGGGGGTGTTGCACACAATGTTTTTAACTTTTCTGGACCGGCAGAATGAAATTGCCTAGAAGCCTATAAAGGAAACTCTCAGATATTAATCAAAAATATCTTAATTTGTTTTCAAAAGTCTTACAGGGTTGAACAACATGAGGGAGAGTAATAACTGACAGCATTTTCATTTTTTGGGTGAACTAACCCTTCAAGAATACTCACCATGACATACAATTTGACATTTTTAACCAATCAAGCACAAATGAGAATCGAATTGCCGATCGCACGCCGTCTGAATTGTCTTCCCTTTGTAACATGAGCTTTTAAATGTGCACTTGCGCAGCGCTACACACGGTGATTTCATGTTGCTTATTTTACTGGACAGTTTAAAGCTCATCATAACCATATTTTGTTGTTACTTGAAGTACTTAAAGTGCAGTGTTATGTTGCATCATGCAGTATTTGTCCTGAAAATTAAGAGTTTATGTCTGTGTTGTTAACTCAATAATTTTAAGGACACTCCTATTTTATTTGTGTACATTTTAATCACTAACATTAAAAGGACATTATTTTAACAAAAATAACAGTAATGGGTAAAAAAAAAAACTGAATTCCCAAAACATAAAACAAGTCGAGTACAGAGAAAATAAAATACACACGATTTTTTCGTTCAAATTACTGTCGTTTTAACGTTACTGTGATGAAGAGCAGGGCGCAGCCGGTGGCGTGAGTGTCAATGAAGGACTGTTAATGAAGGAGTGTTAATGAATGAGTGTTAATAAATGAACGTCACTGCGCGCTACTCCAGTCTGGAGTCCCGGGAGCTCTGAAGGATAAGAGGAGGAGTGACAGTGGAAGACAAGAGAAGACCAGGCCTGGGACATTTAAGTTGCGTTTTGTCTATGTATGGGCGGCAGTTGACTACTAAGCATCTTTCATGCAATCCAATAAATTTAGTCAATATTTTTAATATCCCGGTTATCATCAATACCGGTATATTGCAACACCCCAACTTCACTGGCATCTCTTGCTACTTAACTGATACAACCTACAAGCAAGTTCTTGTAAGCGCAAAGCAAGAAACCTCTGCTAAAGTCAAAGCTATGTTGAAGGAAATTAACAAAGATTTAAACATAAGAGAGTGACTCAAAATGTTCCACTTCCAGCATGGGACCAAGGCACACTTCCTTTTGTTTTGAGCCACTTTCAAGTTCCCTCTACAGCATGTGTTGGGAATCGTTCTGTTTGAAGATGAAAAGCCTCAGTGTCCTCCTTGCTGATTACAATATGTTTTCAAAGACTATCTCTTACTTAGTCTAAAATAACCATGATCATACTTATGGCTTGATTATGCCATGATTAAAGGGATAGTTCACCTGAAAATGAAAATTCATCATTTACTAATGCTATATGAAAAAGTATTGTTGTGTTTGCCTTTTATGAATTTTTTTCGTCGATGCCAGTGATTAAAATACACCACTTTGTTTTTAACAAAAAGAAACATCTCCCTGGGTCTCCCTGTGGCCTTACACCAAAATAAACACTCAATGGTTTAATATAATTAAATGATTTAAAATATATATAATTATTTTAAATATAAAATAATATAATTTCATATATATATATATATATATATATATATAATTATTTTAATTTATCAGAAGCAATCCACATGTTTAACATTATTATGGATTAATTTAATATAAACATTTATAAAATTAATAATATAATTGTGAGGGTTGGGGCCTGGATCACTTAAAGCTGCAGTCCTTAACTTTAAGTTGAATATTTACATGAGCGAATACATCATGAATGCATTTTCCAAAAAACGTGTTTTTGTCTTATCCTGAATCACTACGGTACACCTAAGCGTTTATATTCTGACTATGTTTTTTATTCAGACATTTAAAAAAAAAAAACAACAACAACAAAAAAACATCTTAGAGCAGTAATGGGAATACACAATACAGTGAAACCGGGTCAGAGGTCACTCTTTCGCCAGAGCTTGTCTACAGCCATTACCAGAAGACTGTGATTAATAGTTTATTAAGTTATACATTTAGATATTTTTTTTTCTGACAAAAATGTGGGCTTAGCTTCAGAATGCCTTTACTAACCCCATAAACATGGGTCATATGAATTACTTTTATGATGGATGGATGTGCATTTTAGAGTTTCAAAATCTCTATTCGCTCTCATTATAAAGCTTGGAAGAGCCAGTATATTGTTTTTTTTTTTTCATTGAACTCCAGTTGTGTGCAGTGTGGGGTAACACATTCCAAGTAACTCAAGTTACGTAATCAGATTGCTTTCTCAAGCAACTAGTAAAGTAACGCATTACTTTTAAATTTAAAACAAAATATATGTTACTTTTTCAACAAAATAATGGAAGTTACTTTGTTTTCCCATTTATTGACAGACAATTATGTGAAAAAACATTCTGAGAAAAAGCGCGAGTCAGTGTAGAATCATGGGGTGTGCTGTGTAAGAACATGATGCTTATTGTAGTTCCAGACTAAATTTGCTCCTAACTTGAACAAAAAGATTCAGTATTCCTCAATGAATAAAATCAGTGAAATGGTAAACCAATAGGCTACTACACAAACCTTGCAATACTACTTGCTGCTGTCCTTTGATGATTCAGTTAAACCATAAGCAAATGTGACTTTAGAATTTTTGTTTAAATTGAAGTGTTAAACTTTCTTCTTCTGCGTCCTTTTCCTCAGTAATCCAGAATGACGCCTAGGATTGTTTGAAGGAGAGATAATTAAGCAATAATTTTCAATTGTGGGTAACCTTCTAAAGGTCCTACCAGTATTTATGTAAAGACTTATAACACTTTTTGGATCAGTGAAAGTGCCTTCAGCTACTTGCTAATGAAATATGGTTCATTTATTATGTTAAACTTTATAGCCAAGAAACTTGGTAAAAAGAAAACTGACCCTGGGATTTAGCCTACTTTCAACATTCTTCTTCAGCTATTCATGATAGATTAAGCAGAGCATTCATTTGCTTTGAAGGCCTGATGGTCACCATAGTTTTGTTTCCTTTATAAGCCAACTGTTAAATAAAATAATTTAACTTCCACGTTTGACCCACCTGACCATCGATTAATCACTTAAACATTAATCTATTTATTGTTGAAAGAGGAAAACACCCAGGATTTTAGTCTTATGTTAATGCAAGCTACATTTCAGAAGTCTTCTGACCTGGAAGGTTCACTCTAAACTACACAGAAAGTTCTGAAACTTCAGTAACGTTAAACATCAACAAACTGGAGTGAAATCAAAATACAGCGAACGAGCGAATCAACCCGAACAGAGAGACCGGATGCAGGAACGCGACAGGCTGAAGCTTTACAGCTTTTTCATCGCGTTTTGAGCCTTGTTTAAGGCGACTGAGGGTGTGCGCTTACAGTCAGAGCGACATCATGAAAGCACAAAAAACGACTTTCGATATAGTTGTTTGGCGTTTCCCTCGACTCCATAAACACTGAAAGGCCTGTTCTCAATAGTTTTTCTCACCGTGTCAGCCGCCGCTCCCCGGGCCGAGACGCCGCCGCGGAACTGCACTGGGCCGGGCTGATGAACCCAGGCCCAACTCCGCTAAAGACAGCGATGAGGGGAGAAAAAACACCACCGCCTCCGCTGCCCGCTGTTTCACAGACTCGAGATTCTTTTGACAGCTCTTCTGCTTTTCCCCCTCTGCTCCCCCTTATTTTCTCTCTTCCTTTCGCACTTCCAACAGATAAGAATCAAAATAGTGTCACACAATATGGCGGCCGTACCAGTAAGCGCCTATCGCGAGACTTTCCTTCAAGGAAAAGCGAATTTACGAACCGTACTATGGAGAAGTTTTACCTCATGAATATTAACTCGGCATGCTCAAGTTGCTACCTGACCTTCCTACAAAACCTTAATATTAATGAGCAAATTATTTAATGAGGAAAGAGTTGGCTAAAGGAGTTATGCCTTAGGAATTAGAGAGGGAAATTTGTTACAGATAGGCCTACCCCTGTTTTCACATTCAAGGTTTAAAGGAATAGGCCTTTTTCACTTCAAAATGAAAATTCTGTTTTTTACTCATGCTAAAGTTGTTTCAAACCTGTATGAATTTCTTTCTTCTGCTCACACAAAATTAGATATTTTAAAGAATCTGTAGGCTAACCAAACAGTTGTTATCCAATTGACTTCCATAGTAGGAAAAACAATACAATGGAAGTCAATGGGGTAGCCTACATCCAATATCTGGTTACCGACATTCTTTAAAATATCTTATATTTTGTTCAGTAGAAGAAAGAAATTCATACAGGTTTTAAACAACTTGAGGGTGAGTAAACAATGACAGAATTTTCATTTTGAAGTAAATTATTTCTTGAAGTCCTAGACTATAATTTAACTGAGAGTTACAGTTTTTCTCAAAATCCATTGGCTGAACAAAGTTCTCAGTTGCCTGAACTCATTTAGCTAATTGTGAAGTCTGTTGTCAATACTGTAAACAATTTCTCATGGTAAAACACAATTTGCAGATCTCACTTAGACTTTCCAGCAAAACTCTGAACACATTCTCATTCTCAAAACACATTCTGCACTCTAATGCACATGTCATCCATACTGGTAAACACAAGTGGCAACAATCAAATACAAATAGAGAACACATATCATTTGATTGAACACAACCACTCAAAACTGATTCAACCTGTTTCAAATGATGTGACACAACCAATATTAGCCAGTTCAGAGAGCAAACTGAACTGAGAGGTTGTTGAAGGTAGAAAGGAGAAAGTCTGAGAATGGATAGAAGAAACCTTGTGAGAGGACGAGGGCGTATGCGAGGTGGGCAACGAGGAGGAGGAGGAGCCTATTCACCTTATCCCCCAGAGTTAGATAAGTCCATACATACCTTTTTCATCTCCATGCGTGCTATAAGTCTGTTTGACGCACCCACCGCTAGCCTAGCTTAGCACAAAGACTGGATGTGAATGGTTGCAGCTTTCATACTAATCCAAATGAGTGACAAAAAAACGCAAACATTTTCCTATTTACATGTTGTGGTTTGTATAGTCACAGACTGTACAAATATCAAGGCCATATGAGACACAGGCATCTTTTAACCGAATAAATACTATATTTTCTGAAGGTGAAGCACTGCTACTTGGGCAGAGTGATAACTGTGGTATTTTGGAATAATAGTGTAAAAGAATGCTTGTATTTTGAAAATAAAAGGGCTGTTCCGGGGCTCGCCGGATGTTATGTGCTTATGGCTAAATAAAGACCAGCTCCAAGTACGTCGTTGTACGAACCTTATTTGTTTCTTTACAAAGAACGTGATGGTGTCAGAAGTGGGCGAGTTGTGAGCGGAGCCATTCGATTTTACCAAGCCTCAAGAATGGGAGCGCTGGATTAGGAGATTTGACCGTTTCCGGCTCGCAAGCAATCTAAACGCAATGTCGGAAAAAAACCAGGTAAACACGTTAGTGTATTGTATGGGTGATGAAGCCGAAGATGTGCTAAAGCCGAAAATTGGCTGATGTGCTCCGGAGACTTCATGAGGGACACCTCGGGGTGACAAAGTGCAGGGGCCGGGCCAAACAGACAGTATGGTGGCCAGGGCTCAGCCGTCAGCTGAATGACATGGTACTGAAATGTAGAACCTGCATTCAAGAGAGAAGGAATGTCAAAGAGCTGCTGATGTTGACGGAGATGCCAGATAGGCCGTGGCAAACGGTGGGAGCAGACTTATTCATGCTGAAGGGCAAGACATACCTACTTCGTAGTAGATTACTTCTCAAGGTATGTGGAAATTGAGCTGCTGTCACCCACAAGGTCTACAGATGTGGTGGTGCACCTGAAATCCATTTTTTCTTGTCATGGAATTTGTGAAGTTCTTAGTGACAATGGGCCACAGTTCTCTGGTAGCAATTTTAAAGCCTTTGCAGCAGAGTATGGCTTTGTGCATGTTACAAGCAGCCCCAAGTTTCCCCAGAGCAATGGGGAGGCGGAACGCGCGGTACAAACTATGGAAAACCTACTAACAAAGGCATCAGACCCATATCTAGCGTTTGTTGGCTTACAGAGCAACCCCTCTACAGAATGGCTATAGTCCAGCGGAGCTGTTGATGGGGCGCCGCCTCCGCACTACTGTTTCTGCCCTTCCAGCCCTGCTGACTCCAGTTTTGCCTGACTACAATGCGCTGGAGGCTAAAGCCCACATAGCAACATTGTTTCGGCCCAGATCCGGCCAATATCTGGCACTTGTGGGATGCGGATCTGGCCCACATGCAGCAATGAATGACGGCCCTTGGGTGGCCCACTCCTGTTTGCCAGATCTGGGCCACAAGCAGGCCATAGTAATGCCACATGTCAGCCAAGAGCAAAGAAATAAACCAGAACTGGACTTTATCTGAGCCACAAAATCTGTGTATATTAAACATGGAGTCATCTCAACCTTAATAAGCCTGTTAACAAGCAGAATCACTGAAGGAAAGAAGAGAATGGAAAAAGAGACGAGCAGAACAACTACAACTGACTTTAGACACAGTCTTAGATGAAATCACCTCAAGAGAAAAGAAGACATTAAATCTCTGAAGATCTCAGCAGAGGAGGATTGAACAACTCCACAAACAGCATTACCAGATTCACTTATTACTAACCAGACTGACTTTATTTCTGTCAGACTTCTACAGAAGTTTTCATTGAGAACTAACAGAGGTTTAACTCTGTGTTTCATTTGAAGTCACCATAACATCAGAATCTCTAAAGGAGAAAATCGTAATTGGTTACCATTATGGAGATCAGTGTTTGCTTTAGTTGGGCTCTTGAGCCTAAAGACATTTATATTTGAATTTGTTCGGCCATTGTACTTCTGTTATAACAGCCAAATGAACAAAGAGAAAAAGGTGATTTAATGGTGTTGATTGGGTTAAAACATAATCAATAATTGGCCTGAATCACTGAGAGGGTAAATTCAGAGTTAAGCTTTATATGTTATGGATATTATTGCAGGACTGTTGTTGTGGAATATGCCTTTTCTATTAAATCCAAATTATCAAATCAATTACAAAAAAACAACCTTAAAAATATTTCAGATAGGCACATACAGACATCAAGAATTATCCTATGTCTCTCAACAATGGTGACAAAAAGATTAACTCTGAATATTAGCTCATTAGTTATTCATAAAGCAATGCATGATGGGAGCAATGAATGAGGTTTGATTGGTGGTATCCAGAATACACTGCAAAATGCTTTATAATTTTCACCATTATTGAGGGTCACAGGCTGATTCTTGGTGTCTTTTTAAAATTAAGTTTTAAGAAATTATCTGGATTACATTGTAAAAGTTAAGATAATTATGATTTTCAAGGACAGTGTTGTAACAATAAACAATGACGTAAATTTATCTCAGAAATTGGGCTCTACTCAGGTCAAATGATCGTGAAATAATGACAATGTTAAACAGCAAACATCATCAAATCACCTTTTCTCTTCGTTCATTTGGCTGTTATAATAGAAGTACAATAGCCGAACAAATTCAAAACTAAACGTCTTTAGGCTCAAGAGCCCAACTAAAGCAAACACTGATCTCCATAATGGTAACCAATTACGATTTTCTCCTTTAGAGATTCTGATGTTATGGTGACTTCAAATGAAACACAGAGTTAAACCTCTGTTAGTTCTCAATTAAAACTTCTGTAGAAGTCTGACAGAAATAAAGTCAGTCTGGTTAGTAATAAGTGAATCTGGTAATGCTGTTTGTGGAGTTGTTCAATCCTCCTCTGCTGAGATCTTCAGAGATTTAATGTCTTCTTTTCTCTTCAGGTGATTTCATCTAAGACTGTGTCTAAAGTCAGTTGTAGTTGTTCTGCTCGTCTCTTTTTCCATTCTCTTCTTTCCTTCGGTGATTCTGCTTGTTAACAGGCTTATTAAGGTTGAGATGACTATACACAGATTTTGTGGCTCAGATAAAGTCCAGTTCTGGTTTATTTCTTTGCTCTTAGCTGACATGTGGCATTGCTATGGCCTGCTTGTGGCCCAGATCTGGCAAACAGGAGTGGGCCACCCAAGGGCCGTCATTCATTGCTGCATGTGGGCCAGATCCGCATCCCTCAAGTGCCAGATGTGGGCCGGATCTGGGCCAAAACAATGTTGCTATGTGGGAGAAAGGGAGAAGAGGAGGAACGATGCAAAATACTTCAATAAGAGACACGGAGCAAGAAACCTGGAGCCGTTAGTCCCTAGAGAGGATGTGTGGATAACTGATTCAAGAGTTCAGGGCACAGTGATATCTGCACACACCACCCCTCGCTCGTATATTGTCCAGGTGCCTCAGGGCACGTTGAGGAGGAACCGGCATCACTTGGTGTCACTGCAGACCAACGGTGGGGTGGTTGATGTCGATAAGTCACCTAAGGAAGAAAATGCACCAGATGCACCAGAGCTAACATCACCAGAACCAGCACCACCAGTGACAATATCTCCCAGCAGAGAGGGTCCAGAGACTGTGCGGACCAGATGTGGGAGAGAGGTTAAAAAGCCGCAGAGACTTGATCTGTGATTTATTGACTGGTTGTTAGAGAGGGACAGGTCTTCCAGCAAAAGGGCAGAATAAACCCCTTAAGACCTGCAGAGGCAAAGGTAGTCTACCCTTTGTTCTCAAAGAAAGGGAGATGTGGTATTTTGGAATAATAGTGTAAAAGAATGCTTGTATTTTGAAAATAAAAGGGCTGTATAAAGACCAGCTCCAAGTACGTCGTTGTACGAACCTTATTTGTTTCTTTACAAAGAACGTGCCAATAATC